CCGAAAGTTATAATTTACGGTGCGCCCGATTGGCGTAACTCATACACGCGCTGCGCGCGCGCGAAAGACGCGATTACGCGACGACCGCGTTGGAACACCGTTCTTTTACCAGAATGCTCGAGCTTTCGAAGCCCTAATCTATTAACGACCCGCGAGCGACGGGTGCGGCGCGAACGCGACGTGTGCGTGTGCGGTGCGTGACTTCCCAAGTAGAAAACAAATCAGAAAGTAGCCAGAAACTGTTCAAGAATTCTGGTTACTAGCCAGTATCTGTCCACTTTGACTGGTTAGATGTTGATTAGTTTGGGCGACATCTGTTTGGTTAATAACTGGATAGTAAATTTCGACAGTTTTTAGTCAGTTATTAACCAGTTTCTGGCCTTTTTCCGGCCAATTTTTAGCCAATTATTAATCAGTTTCTGAATAATTAATTCTCGATTAGTTTTTAATTTTTTATAGAAATTAAGTTAATATTGTATTTACTGACCAGCTTAATCTGGTTGGTTTCCGACTAGAAAATACTCAGTCAGAATATTTCTAGTGAGTAACCAGTTTTTTTTATATGTCTTTCTATTTGGGTCGTTTTCAAGTGCGAGATGTAAGACCGATAATACACGATCTGGAGGGAGACTTGTACACATAAAAAATTAAATGAGAATTGCTTTTCCTCTTCTGTCTCCGATGATTCTTAAGCGGAATTTAATTTGCAGTTGATCACCGATCCGAACGTTGATCGTATTTGTATTTGCGCAAACGTATTTGGTTTCATCTTGAATTATTGCTTTTATCTGCTGAATAATTCTTTATCTATCGCCCCGTATTACGTTTGGTGTTACGTTTGCTGTTGCGATTTGTTTATCCATCCCGTAAGTTAATTATGAATCTTTTACCGTCGCGAAGTGGAGAATTTTGCAGAAGCGCGACGGGAATCGCGACGGGCGAGCTTCGTCGCGGTGAATATTTCAGAGTCGATTTTAGGCGTGGGCGATGTGGATTCATGCCACGAAATCATAAATACGTCCGAAAGAGCCCGTACCTTTTAATATAAATAAAACCGTCGTTTATTCTAGGGGTTGATCATATAAATTGAACTCTGAAGCGCGATAAATTGAATCCTACGCAACGAATGGTTTGCGAGGGAAATCTTTTAATTTTATTAATCGACGTGCGCATAAAATAATAAACTTAATAAATAAATAAAGCAATACAAATTTTTATATGTTTCACATTGACACTTTTGTGATCTAACGCATAAAAAAATTAAGAAAAATAAAATATTTCTAAGCAAAAGTTCTCTATGAACCTTTCATTTAAATTCAAATGAGGTGCGCGGGAAAATCTTATTTAAGCTGAAATCTTTTTCCCATTCAAGTTTATATAAGGTATGGGTACAATTTAGAGTAATGTGTCTTTTCTAATAAGATTTTCAAGATTAGGTTTATATATCATCAGCAAGATATATGGCTTAGGCGTAACGTTTCCGTCGTTACCTGTCTTAAATAAAGTAACACAGAAATGCACGTTTCGCGTGCACGGACGCGCGGGCCCTTGAGAATGCATTTAGCTCGCGTCCATTTTCGGTGGAGAACTGCGGAACTGGCTCCGCTGATGCCTCACGTTTCTATCAGCGAGTTTATACGCGGCGCCCACGCGAATCCAAATAACGACATTGTAATACGAGCGACGTGCCGCAGTAAGTAGCATGTCGGATCTCATATTAAACTACATACCGAGGATCGTCGCACCGTATCGGGAAACCGTGAACCGTTTCTGCGCGTTCCCGTAACCATTTATGCGGAAGCGCAAATCGTCGACGTTCCCGCGAAACTTTCGTTCTCGATGAGGCTGGACTAAAGGGTGCGTTTTTTTTTGTCGCGCTATGCTCGTGAACACGTTGAACACGTTCGGCGTGTGTCCAAAGGCGCCGCCGATTTCAATTTCCGTAACGACGCAATCTCGCGGCATTACGGAAAATAGGAGAAATCCGGCGAAAGTAAACGTAACGCGTCACAACATGCGCAACTCGCGCACCCGTTGTAATAATGCAATATGTAATAATAAGGAGACGATAATGACGCATCGCGCGTTTTGCAGGCGTGCTTGCGGTGGCCGAATGATATAACGTACGCAATCCATTTTCGCTTCTTTAGCTACGCTTGTAAATCACGTAGCTCTAACTTCGCGAAAGAAGAAACGAGTTAATTTGGCTGCAAAAACGATATCTCATAAATTCAGCATGATTGTATGCACGATTATATTAAAAACAAAAAATGATTTATTTAATCAAAGGCATGTTGTACAAGAATTTCATACAAGCTGTGTATTATGTATATTAGAGGCGAAATTATCATTGAAAAAATACATGCTACTTTTTCATGTACAATTTTCAAGTTAATCAAAAAAACACAGCGAAATTGCATAAATTGATATCGCTTATGATAAACCCAAATAGAAAACTAGAAAATTAGAAACTAATCAGACTGGCCAAGAATTCTGGTTACTAATCAGTTTCTAGTGAGTAACCAGTTTTTTTTAATACATTTTTCTATTTGGGTACAGATATTAAAATTAAATAATAGAAACAATAACAATAATAGTAATAATGACATCTCTATAGAAGAAAAAATAGGAAGGAAGATTTTTTTTTTAAATCGGAAATCTTTTTCAGAAGAACACTGTAAAAGACAATGAGAGATATTAATCTTTATTATAAAAAGCATCGCGTATTTTGATCTTAGCTGAGAAAATATTAGGTCCTCCTGGATCGTACCGTATGAAAAAGCAGCCAATTAACGTGCCAAGGCGTTGCGCAAGCCGCGGTCAAAGACGTAAAACTACGCGATCACGGTGTTCCCACCGTCGATCACCTCGCTCGAATCTGTATCTCGTGATTGTTTCATTGTCGCATTGAATTGACGCGGGTGGTCTCGCCTTTCTCGCGAGAGCGAGCGGTGCGGCCGAGGCGCATAATGCATCGTCGCCTTCGCTCGTCGCGGGTGTCGTCGCGGTTTGTCGTACATACGGTTGAGATGGCAAGAAACGATGACGTAATTTCTCGCCGCTGCTTCTAACTCTCCCTTCCCCGCCCCTCCCCCTCTCCCGTGCTCTTTCCTCGTGGCATGTCGCGAGCTGAGCCATAATTATTTTAACGTTTTAATAACCGCTCTCGCGTGTGTGCCGCTTCGTCAAAAGACGCCTTGACGTAAATACAACGAAACACCGTAGCGAATTGTGTCAACCAGGATTGCGCCAAGTACCTTATGTATCGCAACTTGTATATATACACAATAAACTAACAATCTACGATTTGAATTAATTTTATCGCTTTTTCGTCTTAATCCATTCGTATTTATCTTGATTTGATTCGCCTCTAATTACTCGATTGACATATTTATAGCGATATATTTATCAATGTAATAATGTAAAACATAATTTAAAATCATTATGTTCATAATGATCTTTGAAACCTGCGCTAAATTTAACATAATTTTCCACGTTTGAATTCAGTTTAATACAACAGAATGTTAATCGAAATTAAACCAATTGAACAGAGTTTTAGAACGGATATTGTCAAATTGGTACAGTGAGAATTTGCGTTGTTGTTACCACGGGCATGTGATTTTAATTATTTCGATGCACTCTGTGTGGTAGGCCCGAGGGGAGGAGAAGGAAGGGCTCTCTCAGAATTTCTCTTCGTTTTGTTCCGAGTGACTCGCATAATTGATCCATTAGCGTTGTCCTGCCATTTCGTGCCGCAAGGCTTTAATCGTGTCGCAGAACACTAGTCTAAATTGTATATTGCTGCACTGATTTACATTTCTATGCGTGGGAAAAGAGATATTGTTGCAGGTATTGTAAAATTTTTTTATATCTTCTACGTGCGCATTTTCTCTATTGTTTTTAAATTGATACAAAAATAATGTTTTATTATAATGATTTTGTTGTCTAAATAAATTTTTATTCTTTTTTACTTTTAGATATCTGTAAAATACAAAATATAAGTTTAATTTTTAATAATTGTAATCTTGATATTTTGCTTACAATTATTTACAATTTCAAAATATATAATAGCGCCTGCCACTCATCTTTATATTAATACTAAATGGCGTTCCGCAAAGAAGTAAGAGGTATTTTATCACGCATTTATCGTGAAAAACGATTATTAATTTGACAATTGATTTACATCCTGCAATATATTTACCGTTAATAACCATCATGTTGTGGCACCTGGTGTACAGCTTCCATTCAAGGAGGTCGAAATTAAAGGTAGGGCGGATTAACGGGTCTTGATTATCCATCGCGATACTCGGATGTAATTGCAACACACACAGGTTCGATTTGTGGTGCATCGATTGAAACGCGAGCGAAAGCACGCGTAAATTTGCGGTTGCTATGCTTCATTCATTCGAAACATATTGAAACGATGAATTCTGTGTCTTCACATTCGCTCGTATCATTGTATCATATTTATTTAAAGGAACGTATACAGCAATTTTCAGCGGCGTTATTTTGTTATGTGATATGATGATTCTGAAAACATTCTGAAAAAAGATCAAACGCGATATGGAATTTTATATGGAATTTTATATTTTATATAACGCGATATGAATTTTTTTAGCTCGGTCCTTAAACTAATGAATTAAACGTTTCTTGTAAATTTTTATTTAAATATAATTCTTTTTTTAACCGTAACTCTTATCAGTCGGACGATAAGAGACTTATTTTTAGTATTACGTTTGGTGGCATGTGAAATAAAGCAGCTGCAGCGTGACTTTTTCATATGATTCGTACACGCGCGCTTAAGTCTACTCACGCTGTGACGCGACTATTCTGCTCTCACCCTCTTCGGTCCTTCTTTCTCCCTCTCGCTAATTTTCTGCGAAGAGCAATTTCGTTTCCAAGACGGCCATTACGATTGCTATAATAGCGCTCATCAGACTGCGCCGCCTATCACCTTTACCTTCATCTTGTCTAATTACAGGTCGCGTTTATTGTTTCAGGAGGAGAGCGAGCTCTCGAGCAAGCGGTGGGCCAGTGCGCCCCGCCGCCCGGACAGCCCCTGCGTCCTGGGGGCACCGACGTCTAGGGAGGTAAGTCAAATTCGAATTTATCCCGAATATATCCAATTCCAATGTTCACGAGACAAATTAGATACATATATCTTTTAGAGGACGACTGAAACAGAAATGCTTGATTTTTTTCTCCTATTTGTTCTATTTTATTTTATTTTATTTTATTATGTTATTGTTTTATTCTTTTTTCAAATCACTCACTGCAAAGTCAAATATCTGGCGTATGTATTTAAGAAAAGATTATCAGTTACTAGTCTAGGTCCGATCAAAAATTATATAGAAGGTTACATATAGATAGTTTTCGCAGATTTGTTAGTATTGCGGAGATATAAATCTGGTCGAGACCAAGGTACTCAGATTTGAAACATCCTGACGAAGATTGATTAAATATTTTTTCCCGATACATATCACGCTCAAATCGGGCAAATATAGGAGAGGAGATAGACACTTCGCGTACAGTTATCCACGAGAATACGTCATCCTCGCGCGATCAGGTGTCGTTGCTCTTAACGGACATTAAAATTTCCGCGCGATTATTCATGCCGATAAAATCTCGCCTCGGTCGGACGGTGCACGTATAATAACGAGCGCTTCGTCGCTTCGAGCGCTTCGTGAAGCACATCGCGGATCGTCGTGGATGCCGGTCATACGACTTATTCACGAATACATGGCGCCACCCACAGGCTCTCTATGATGGGTGTGACTCGTCTTGGCATTCGCGATGCACGTTACGCTGCATGAGGGAACAGGAACGTGTGTTGCCGTCGCTTTCGCGAGTACGCTTGTAGGTGTTCGTTCCCCTTTAACGCTCTAACGACGCAATGCGGTGACTCGCGCAAATGCGCAAATCTTCCGGCGACAAAAGAGAATCCTGCGATTTGATTCGTCTTCGAATCTGGCTACTGTTACTCGAAAATATTCACAGATGATATTTCTGTATATTTCCGTAATTTCGGAAAGAAAAAAAGAGTGCGTGATTATTTGAGTAATTTATGACAATGAATTCTCGATTCGTAAAATCTTTGGTATTAGGAAATGAAATATTAGAAAATGAAATACGACCACATGCAGTTTTAATACAATATTAGATAAAAAATGGAATGGTTTAGGATGATTTAATAGCTTCTGCTCGGAATTTTATATATTTATATCGCTTAAAATGTTTATTGAATCGAACATTTTTTATCTCTTAGAACTCATATCTTTTAAATATAACACAAAATTATTTAAATACATACTGATATTATTTAAATATATAACTGATTAATAATTGGCTAGGAATTGATTAATACAAAATTGATTAATAACTGACTAAAAATTGGCCGGAAAAAGGTCAGAAACTGATTAATAACTGACTAAAAATTGACGAAATTTACTATACAGAATTTACTATATAGTTATTAACTAAACTAGAGACGTTGCCCAAACTGATCAGAATCTAACCAGTCATACTGGCCAGATACTGGTTAGTAACCAGAATTCTTGGCCAGTTTCTGACTAGTTTCTGATTTGTTTTCTACTTGGGTTCGTCAGTGAATTTATGTACAATTTCAATTTCCCGGATATTAGCGACCGCGATATGGTTTCGACTCCATTTTCAACTACCGCAAGCAGTCATGGAGTTCGTCGTTAGGGTAGCGTAAATACGTACGCGCTGCCGCTCCATGAAGCAATACGCCAGTCGTGGTAATAAAACGCTCTCTCGCTCGTGTCCGTGACATGAAATATCGTGGATCCTTTCACGAAATGAAAATAGAGAATCGCCGCACGCTCTGGGGAATGTATTCAAGATTTCCAGTCGCATTTCACGAGCGATCCAGTTGTTATGTGGTGGCTACGGGAGACGGCAATTGAAGGACACGGTCGACGAACATCATTCGTCGCGTTAAGCCATAGACTTTAAATCGATGCCTCGGAGTCGCGCAAGCGGTTGCAGTAATTTTATTCAATGATTTTAGATACATAAAACTTTATCGCCTTGAGTTATAAATTGTCGATGTATTTTTTAATTTGTTACACATGAATATTATTATATTGAACTCTTGGATGACTCTTCTTTGTACTTTTGTTAATAATAATGTATAAAAAATGGAAGAGTTATTAATAGAAGTCAATGTAACGAGCGTATGAGGAAAGGAGAGAAAATTTTAATTCCTCGCCTCAGGCTGCGCAAATGTCCGAAGCCGATCTCGCGACGCGTACCATCTGTTACGACAGTATTTCCGGTGTCGATGCGCCTCGCGGCTGGCACGCGTCAAATCATGCGCGAGCAACGTGAAATCACAATTTGATGGCGCGTTTTTGCAAGTCCGGTCGCGATTGGTCACGGAATCGTGCCGTACTTTAGAAATCATTTACGATCACAATTACTCGTTAACGATAATGTCAACACGTCGCACTTCGTATCTCTTAATTTCGTGCAACAATTTGTGCAATAAAGGGGAAAAAAAATATTTTACATTCTAACTCTATTCGTCCAGGAAATGGTGAATTGGACTCTCGCTCGTGTCTATCCCCGGGGAACATCGCGCGACGTTTGCCGGCCGATGCCTCTTTCGCGAGGAGCGAGGGGGAGGGGGCGGGAAAACGGGGAGAGAGGATGGCACATTAGGATGCATTCGCTGGATGCATTCGCGCGCCGGCATCGGTTGCATCGGGTACGGTTCAATTCCGTTACGCGGACGTAAGCCGCGGGCTTCCCACGCCAATTAAACATGACTCATTAACGGGCGGGAGAGCAGTCGCGGTAGCTCGGGATCGATGCCTGGCCGGGGGAGTCGGCGGGCGCAGCCGGAGAGAGCCCTTCCTATAACTCTCCGTCGCTGGTGCAATCGGAACTAATCTCGACCGTCCTTCTCTTCCATCGGTTGCGCTCGCAATATTACGGCGCGGGTAAATCGGGTAACCGTGCGAGAAACGGCGTATGTACTCGGCCATGTCGTGTCGCGCCACCGCTGTAATATTTATAGTCGCGGGCCAAGCTCTTGCATGCGATCGTTCCACGAATCCCTTCAGACTCATATCCGTACCTGCACAGAGCGCGAGATCATTCTGACATTTTTAATCCGCTCCACGCTCTATTGGAAATATGTCTCATAAGAAAACAGCCTCTCGATAGAAAAATATTTGGGAAAAACTGGTTACTGGCTAATTTTTATTATTTGGATTTATTAGACAGTGATTATCCGACTGGTCAGAACATTTTATTTAGTGAAAAATATATCTCAATTTCGTTGGTAATTATTGGTCAGAAAATAGCAGTCAGAAAAATCTAAGTTTTACTTAAGCAATTAGCTTACAGCAATTAGTTAATATTTACTGACGAGCTTAATCTGGTTAGTTTCTAGCTAATTGTTAGACAAAAAATACTGGTCAGAATATTCTTAATTTTATTGGCAAAAACTAACTAGCATTTACTGACCAGTATATCTGGCGAATTTTTGACTAATTATTAACGAAAAAAATGCTAGTCAAAATATTCCGAGTTTTACTGATCAGAAACTGGCTAGCATTTACTGATTAGTTTAATTTTGCTAGTTTCTGGGTAGTTTCTGATTAGTTGCTGACCAGTATTATCCGACAAAAATTTTCTGATCAATTATTGGATAGTTATTGTCCAGTAAATTTAAAGAATAAAAACTAGCCAGTTTCTAGTGAGTAACCAGTTTTTCTTATATATTTTTCTACTTGACTTGGAACCTGACCAATATTTTCGGACCAATAACTATTCAGGAATTAATCAGATAAAACTGGTTAGTAAATGTTAGCTATTTTCTGACCAGTGAAACTCTGAATATCCTGTTAATTACAACACGATAATTTTATTATATCTGCATTTATCACAATTTTCATATCGAGAAATGTAACTTGTAAAAATATTACTTTATTTAACATTTAATTCTCATTTTTAGGCGATTGATAATGTTTGCGTTACGGAATTTCAATATGATTCAATATGATTTTTACGGGAACGTCGAGAGGAAGAAAATCTAATATTGACTTGGTTATAAAATTAAATAGTATGAATTGATATGAATTGATATAAATAAATTATACTACCGTGAATTCGAATAGCGCGGATGTTTTAAAGCGACGCGAACGCTGTGGCTGTTTAACCGTCAATGGTGAATGAAACGTCTATTTAATCGGCGAATAAAAGCGCATGGTTTTTCCGTGAAATCGATAGTCATCGCCGTTGGGCATCCTCGTTGCTTTGGCTATTCCCTGTCAACTGCAACAAAGTAACGGGACGCGCACCACTAACAATGCCTTTACTGCTATTCTCCTCTGGCATGCGCGCGGGTTAGCATTAAGACCTGCTTCATGCGAGTAGACTTTTATCAGATAGCGCAATGCGAAACGACACAATAGATCTTAAATTATTTTCGATCGGGCGATTATACGTTGATTAATGCGACCGCCCGATAATCGCGAATTGTTTGTCACAGAGTTTGATAGGCGCGGTTGTATCTCCGCCGCGCGAAGTAAAAGTATTTACCCCGAACTAAATAGTAATTGATGCAATAACGCTTTATTATGTTGCAGAATGGAATATAGAATTATGTCTATATAGAGCCTCAAGATCTCCGAGATCTTGCGATTAAATCAAGAGCTCGGGCTTCCTGTAATCACTTAGAATGATCGATTGTTTATAAGTATCCGTTAGTATACATTACACAATATAATATTTCAAAAGAATTATGTTTAATTAACATAAATTTTTTTTAGAGAAAGACATTAAATACGTATTTGAAGTTGGTTATGAAAAAAATTCACTATATCTTAATATTACATTCAGTATAAATTAATTAATTAAATGTCAAAAGTTGAAAGAATATAAAGCTTATATTATGTATGTCATGTAAAACAGAGCAAGGAATCTTTGTCTAAAATTCGCAGTTATTCAGACAGAGAATTGAATTAAGTAGGCGCGACGTTTATGGCAACTAGACACATCGTGTATCACTCCCGCCTCGTTTCCTATGTTTATCGAAGAAGAAAATTCCGCGACCTGTGAA